TTCGGTGTATCTTACATTATTCTGTAAGTGTGAAAACCATAAACTTAAAAAATTTGTGTAACTAAACAGCATAATTAATTTCAGTCTTATATAGATTCATTGTCAGAGTTCTTCCATCAACATTTAATGTTTCTCCTTTTAAATATTTTTGAAACACCGTGTAGTATATGTATTGGGAAAAGATCTATTTGTAGAGCTTGGAGGACTTGTGGCTATTAAGTCATTTGAATTATTACATGGCCCAGAGATTTCAGCAGAATAGAATAGGACTAAAACTTAGATCCATTTGTAAGAAGGCCAGTTTTCTTTGCTTCCTTAATGGACTTAATGGACAGACTGTCACATTTTCTAAATTCTATTCATAAAGATCAAAGTATTCCCTTTTTTCTTGTTTGATACTTGAGATCGTATAATAAAAGTGTGCATATAACTAAGCATTCTGTGGTTCTGTTTTTACCTGTTACAGAGGATTGACATGGTTCCAGAGTTGCTTAGCTCCAACCTGTGTTCGTTAAGATGTAATGTGGACAGGTATGTATACCTTTTTTTTCATAAGAACGTTATATTTACTTCTTTAACTGATTCACATTAACAAGTAATATTTATTCCCCTGCCCCACCCCCTTTACCCCAATAGGCTGGCATTTTCATGTATTTGGGAAATGAATCACAATGCTGAAATCTTAAAAACAAGGTTTACCAAAAGTGCTATTAATTCAAAGGTTAGTTTCATGGTTTGTCTATATTGGTTAAAATCATTGCTACTTCCAATAGTATTTTAGATTGTTTTGAAAAATTTCGATTTCCTGAGTAATTTTTCCCCACATTGTTGCTGTAAAATCTCCTTTTTTCAGTTATCTGATTAAGTTTTGCTATTATCCAGTGTTATTTTCAGTGGTAACTCTCTTGTATTTGGAAACTTAGAAAGCTCAAGTACTTGAGAAGACCAAATAGAAGACTTTAGACCATAACTCAGGAATTCCCGTCATTGAAGTTGTGCCAAGTTATAAATAGTGTTTTAAAAGTTTCTTTGTCTTCACATGTTCAAATAGAATGTTATGAATCGTATTTAGTGTCCACTGACATTGTACTGAAAACTATATGTAGACAGAATGAATGAAGCCTGTTGGTCATTTTAGTACTCTCCTTCCTGGATTTCCTTATGATTTTGCCCTAACTCGTCTTCTGACGTTTGATAAACTCTCTCTCCAGATAATTTGTACCCCAAACTTAGATACTTTTTCTTTTTCTTGATGGTTTTCTTTCTCTTCAGGTCAGAGCTTTATTTTTTTTTTGGAAAGAAAGCAGCATTAGATGGACAGATAAAGCTGTGTGAATAGTTGAAGCCTCCCGAGATTTGTTTTTAAATCAGAGTAAGCTTATGTTTTTCCAGTTTTCCCAGACTCAGTGTAACAAGATTATATGACAGAAGTTCAGTGAAAACAACATAAAACCTTTTTTAGAAGAGGAGCCCTTAGTAATTGGCTCTCCCAGGAATCGGATTTGACCTGGGTATCATCTAACATTCTGATGTTATTCCTGATTTGTTTTTCTTCTGAAACTATAAAAACAGTTTAAAAATAGTGAATTTTCCAAGAGGAAGTAAATAAGAGTAAAAGGAGTTATTTGTAATTCTGAGTTTTATTGGCGATTGCTTTAAATATTTTCCACTAAAATATATCTCATTCTTAGGTACTTAATTTTAGATATTTAACAAATTTCCAGCTGAATATGATTCAAAGGATTTCAGTTTACAGTTGTAAAAAATAGATCTAACTTGCCTTCATACTTTATTTTAGCATTATCTAAATATTTGCACATTAATTGGAGTGTGAAAGTAATTAGAGCTTCAACAATTCATTCACTAACAAAACTGCCATTTTACTTTGTTTTTTACCTAAGTTTTCATGTGTGGTAATATTTTTCAGATAAGAGTTAATGGACCAGAAATGATCAGTATGAAGTATAAATTATATAGCTCTGGATTATTCTTTTGTTACTAATTTTAGGTTTTCTGAAATTATAGATTTTATGTAGTGGAAGTATAAGTGCATAGTAAACCAATTTAATCATTAATATGTATTATATTATTACATGGCTTCTCTTTTAGGCTTCTCTTACATATGCAGAAGCGCAGATGAGAATTGATTCAGCAACCATGAATGATGACATTACCACCAGTCTCCGTGGGCTAAATAAACTAGCTAAAATTCTGAAGAAACAAAGAATAGAAAAAGGGTACATCCGTTAAGATGTTACTTTATTCATTTATCATTATATTAAGATTATTTTGAAAGTGTTATAATTCAAAAATGTTTTATCATGAGCATCGATAGTTTAATGAATGAATTTCCTAAGTAGAGGCATCCAATTTCTTCTAGACACTATTTAAAAATTAGCAACTTGGTTCTGAAGTGATAATTGTTGAAGAATTCTGTCCTTGTAATTGGTTGTGCTAAAAACTAATGTGCTTGGGTTCAGTATCATGAAGCAATGCCAGTAAGACAAGTGTTTCTTATTGTCATCAGAAATCAGTTTCCTGATTAAACACTGGTTTACAAGTGTTTAAATAAATGTAGGTGATTTCCTCCTTTCATTTTAGAATTGAATAATATTTCAGAATTTAATGCAACTCTTTGTTTTTTGAATAATTAAGTTATGTAGTACAGTCTTCCCCAAAATACGAGAGCTAGTGATAGATTTGAGTCACTTAACTATTGTATCATGGTGTTTGCCTGTCTAACTACAAAAGGTATAAAGAGTACTAACCTAATCTTGTTTAAGTCAAATAACAAATTTAATTCTTGAAAGACATAATCAGATATCAGAGGAAACCAAGTACGTGAACCTTTCGAATGTTAATCTTTCTCTCAGGGTTTAAGCAATTAGTTACTAAATAACAGTATTTTTATTGGGTAATGCAGACTATATTTGTGCTATTTCATGTGTGGTTTATTTAAATTACACTGAAAACCCAGTTTCTCAGTTGCACTAGCCATATTTCAAATGTTCAATAACCACACATGTCAGATGGCTGCCATACTGGACTATGTGGCTATAGAACATTTTTGTCACTGCAGAAGGTTCCATTGAACAGTGTTACCCTAGTTATCTAAACTGTCCACTGTCTCCCTGCTTCTCTATGAATTGTTCATAGAATCCTAAATGTGAAACTTAAAATTGTATAAGGATCATTTGGATTCAGTAAAACCCAAAAGTTCTCAAACCCAGAGCAAGAGTGTTCTTCAAACCTGCCATTTAAATGTAAAAAAGATAAACATAATTAAAACTTTTTTAAAATATTCAAAACACAGTCTCTATTTAAAATTACTCAGAATTTATAGATAGATCTCTTTTCTTCAAATAGGATGAAAAATATTCATCGGATTGTATGAAAAGAGATATATATATTTGTGACATGAAATGGCTCATTATTCAATTAATATTTACTGAGGGCTTCAGTATACATGACATCAGAGAAAATTTGCATAAAGCTTTTGGTGTTTTTTTTTAGAACATTATTTAAAAATTACAGTCAGTAAAGCACATTTTGAAGCTATATTTATTTGCAAAGTTGTAAACTTGGATTTGTAACATAGTTTCTCATCATTAAGTCACTGAGAAGATTTTTGTTGTTGTTGTTGTTAGCATCAAACAGTCTGTATTTTTAATATTCTGTGTAGTGGGTCATCTACTTGTAAAACATATCATTAAGTCTTCACGTCTTAGGGAGACTAGGGAGGATAGTCAGTAGAAAAAGTCTGACATCTTTTGCATTTTTAAAGGGGAGGACTATGAAAGCTGGAGCCTGTATAAAGCAGAAACCTGTAAGAGAAGGGAAACAAATATTTTCTACTCATACATTGAGTGATATGAAATTTGTAAGACTGCACCTGACAAAGATGGGAAATTGGCAAGACCCAGACAAACAAGGCAGTCCTGTTGAGTTCTGGTTCTCATAGGTTTCACTGTAGTATGCTTGGATGAACTTAACATTTTAAGTGTCCTTTGAAGAAAAACGATCAAAATGTTGTTCAATATACATTGCTCTTCAGCGTGTATAAACAAACACGTCATGAATCTGGTACAAAACTTTGTTTAAAGTATTAGTAAGTCAGAAGAGGGATATTTGCTGAGAATCTTCTCTAGTATTTCTTGTGCAGCTCTTCTAATAGAGTTGAGGGGTCAAGGAACAGAAGGCTTCAGAATCTCAGTTGTCAAGGACTTCATTTTTCTTGGATTAACTA